CCTATTCTGATAATGAATTTTTGTGGAAATCTAATACATGCCTCGTTAACCCATTTATTATTCACAACAACCCTGGGAATAAATATTATCCCCTTTTTACAATGAACAAACTGAAAAAAAGGTTATTTGAGAACAGTATAGGACAACATAGCAAGTAATAGCAGAAACTCTAATCCAAGATTCTGATTCCAAAATGGAGCTCATTCCATTAGTCCACAGCTCATCTAATCCCAGCTGTAATGGTCCTCCCAAATTCCATCACACTCTTAAAGTCAAAGTAGGTGAGAAAAGGCTGATTATGAGAAAAGTAAGCATTTCCCCTCAAAGCACAACCCCCTGGTTGGCATCCTCAGAACAAGCTTTGAATCAGTGCATTCCTTTTTCTCTATCAGGTAGCTAGTAATAGGTCACTCTAATCAACTCTTTATTCACCCCTCTATTAGAAATCACAACCTCCAAAGCCCACTCAGCCCAGCTAACTCACCCTCTCATTCCTCCACAGAACTGAGGCATGTTTACGATTTCAAACAAAACGACAGGGTTTGAGCCAGAGAAGAGCATCTATATATAATATCATAAAGATTCAGGCTGGAACTAAAATAGAAATAGAGCATTCTCAATGTTGATGGGCACTTCTTCACTTTCCAGTTGTAGCATGAAAACTGACAATATCATTTAAATAAAATATGTGTTTGTATTCACTTTTGCAAAATTTCAATTGTTCTCCTCCATCTTTGCAAACTTCGCAAGACTTTAATAGTTTCATTTAAGAATAACTTATGGTTGATTGATAGGTTTTTCTAGTGTTTTAAGGCTCTGATTATACTCCTTTCCTCAAATCTTCCCAAAACTACACATAATACCCATCAAATAAAAGTGAAAATATATTTATATTGATTTTTAAAATTTTCATATTTACTTCCTTTCATTTAGGCTACCACCCATACTGTCATTATAAGAACTTGGTTAAAATATGTTCCAACTAAAGCTTGGTAGTCTTTGAATGCTAGATAAAAATCATTCTCTGCAGCTAATGAAGACAGAAACTCTGCCTGTAACAATATTAAGTTTGTTTTCTCTGGTGATTCAGAGAAGTGAGCAATCTGTCAGTAATACATTGAGTGAAATTACTTGTCTTGTAGGAATAACTGCTGACAGTCACTTTATTTCAGGGCTGACCCAAACATCTCCCTGCTGACAAACAAATTACTATGTCTAACTTTGAAAAGGTAACTAGCTTGTTTCTAATTTTGATTGGTCTCTCAGAATCCCTTATACATACACTCAGTCCCACCCTTCATTGTATTAAAAAAAAAAAAAAAGCAACAAAAAGTGTTTTGGGGGGACAGGTTTGAATTAATGAGTTAAAAAAAAAAGTAAAGGAAGAAAACCCTATCGTTTGGAACTAAGAAAAAGAATTGTTATTGCTTCATTCCAAGACTGTTACACAGATAAAACTAGTAAGTGTGTCTACTCTACATTAAGACTGGCAGTGCCACCAATGACTGACTGGGTGAGTGAACACATTACCGAGACAGTATTGTAGGAATTAATTTTCTTCAATAAAGTGATTTTTAAGGCTCATGTATTTCACAATCTAAACATATGTCACTGTTTCATAAACAAAATAAATGGATTAAAATAATACATTACCAATATGCTGACATGTGGAGATATTTTAATTAGAAATTCTTAAACTGTGTGATATTTAGCTGTTGTATTTGCTAGAGAAGCATGCATCATTTAATAAGAAAGCATGAGACAGGTGCATTACTTTGCATGATATGGTACCAGATTGGATTTCATATAAACTATGAGGCAACATTACTTCCAATTAAAAAACAAAACCAAATTACTTTAGGTACCTATCACATTGAAAGTAACAACAAAAAATGAATCAGTACATTAAAATCACTCTTTCGTTTAAAAAAAAGTGTCATTCTGAGCTTAGTTTCTGAGACAATATTTCTTCAGAACAATCTAACATCTTAGCTATTTAAAGGCCATATTTACATGACTGCCTCATTATACTGGTCCCCCCCTTTTGACTTACTTGAAGGATCAATGCTAACATAGCTGAGGAAAGCAAATGGCAACTGGTCCTGAAATTTATACGGGTAGAGAACTGGAATAAGTAGCAATATAATATATTGTTTACTGTAGCAAGTGCCCTCTGTTCTCTAAAGGTCAAAAGCACTGTAACCTTAGAGTTACAGTTTCTGATTGTTCCCAGGGTTAAATACATTATCAAAATTAATGGTTCAAGCCCCTCAACCTTCAGATATATGAGTATTCATGCCTCCATCTGCTGAAGTGTTCAACTAAAAATAGCATTCTTTGGCCTTCTCTCTCCTAATATTGTGCTCCTGAGGCAGAGAAAACCATGCCTTAGATCAGCATGGAGTACCAAAAAAAAAACAAAAAGCAAAAAAACTTTTCTGTGTCTTTCTTATTTTAAAGAAAGAACTGGAATATACTAACGTAAGGAGGATCTTTCCACTTTAAATACCTTTTCTCTACCTGATAACAAAATTTCAGGCTTCCAGAGTATAACTATACTGTTAAGATTACCCAGGCTCATTAATGTTAAAAGTGACAACCTTTGAAGGACAAATTAACTGTACGTCAGGTAGAGAGGACCACTTCTGAGCAATGCAGCAGGGTGTGCGTGGAGGTGGTGGTGGTATATATGTGTTATGGTCTTTCTTCCTAAGAATCTCTGATTAGAAATAAAACCCATTAACATAATTGTAATGCTTAGTATCCACAATTTATCATGATCCTATTTATCATGATCCTATCCACAGTTGACACAGCTGTGACATTTAGCTTGTCAAAGGAATGGAGAAAACCCTGGCTAGAAAAGAAAGTAGACTTTAAAATCAATAAAGCAAGATATTATTAAATTTTCTCTCTACTTTTGCTCAAGATTTAAAATGTTAGTGTCTATAGCAGGTTAGATATGGGTGTCCACTGTGCAGTTCATGGAAGTCCCAATAAACATGCTATACTCATACCAGGATAGTTTGAGAAACCTGCCTTTCAAACCAGGTCAATCTTTTCTAAGCAAAGGTTTCCTGACATGCATGGAAAGGTACAAAAAGTGGAAGCTAGAGAACAGAGCAAGAATAAAAAAACAACAAAAAAAACCAGGAAACTCTCAAACCACCCCAAACTTACACTGCAAAGCTATGAGGGCCCCCTGCCTTACCAGATTCTGTATTTAGTCTCATTAAAGTGGCAGGCATGTGGCATATGTTGTGCTCCTAGATCCGCACTGCTACAGCACTACACGGATCTGGCACTCACATATATGACATCATGGTTTCCAGAAACCCAACAGAAGCCAGATTTGACAGCATCAGGGGTCTGTGATGGTGGGGGGAAGAGAAGTCAACCTAAGTGAAAATTAGTAAAAGAAGACACGGGGTAGAAAACTGGCTAAGGGAAGGTTGATGGGATAGAACTCAACACCTCAAGAGAAAATAAATGTCAAGAGGAGAGGAAGTTTTGAATTTGAGCCAAGGCCACTTGCTTTTACATTCTTTCAAGCACTTAAAAATTTAACAAACTACCTGTCCTGAGTAGGTAAGCTTGCTAACTGTCATCACACAGAAAGGCTTGTTCTTAACGTCCAGCTGTCTCACTGCTTGCCAATCCTAAGCACAGTAGATTTTTAGAACGTCCAGAAATATGGCACCTTCTCTACAGCCAAAAGAAAGCCTTAGAAAAGAAATCCCTTCTGGCTGTATAGAAGACAGCAGATATTCTAACAGTATATGCCTTGTCATGTCTGGGTGGAAACCCCCTATATACTTCTTATAATCAAAGGGAAAGGGAAAGGAAGAAGGCAAGCAACAAGGTCTGAACTCTTCCTTAGGCTACTTCCAAGGTGTCCTTTGATCTTGTCCTCTTCCTTCTTCTTAGAAGTGAGCTTTCTCTATCATTTTCCAAAAATGCAGATTTAAAAGCAACAGAGAAGATAATGTCAAAGGGACACTTTATTGATCACATAGTAGTTGATATGTATAGACGGGCAGAGCCAATAGGAGCTGAATATACAACTTTGTTAGATGTAATTGTTTTCTTCTTTTTAAACTGGGTTTACCATCCTAGGTTAGAACATAAATGTAGTATTAGATCTAACCCAGAAAGTTAAAGTGTATTTCAGTGTGAGATAACCTGTCTCCTTTTTTTGTGACTCAACAGATAGCTAGCAACCCTCCAGCATCTGATAGTACCCCAGAGGTACTCCAATGATATAGGAGAGGAATTAAGCATGATAATGGAGAGAGGAGGACTGGGTCCCTATAGGAGAAAGGGGTTTGGTTTTCAAAAGAGCCGTATGAGCCATCCTCTCCCATGTAGTAAGAATATCCCACAAAAACGACAAAGAGCTTTATTGAAAGTTAAATATGAAGGGGCTACTATAATAGTTTATGTCAGGCCCAGGCACCCAACCTCACTTCAGCCAGAGAAAACTAAATTTGAAAACCTGAATTTGGTAGAGTTAGAAATCCTGGATAATAACTCTGACTCCAAGAATATTTCATAACCTTGGTTAAATAACCTGACCTCTCTGAACCTCCATTGTTTTGTCTGTGAAAGCAGAATTATGTTTTATCAACTCCATAGGGTTGTCACATGGTCAAATGAGGTTTTTTTCTTTTAATGTTTAAGTGTTTTTTAACTACTATACAGCATTATACATTAAAAAAAAAGAGTAAGGGAAATAAAGATGGTTTTGAAAGCACTCATAATGTAAAGAATTTGCCTAAATATATAGCAATAAACAATGTATTTCAGAGGCGTTGGTCTGGGGTTTGCCTTTTTCTCTGAAAGAAAAAGGAGCAGAAATGAGCCTCCTTAGGAATGAGAAAAAGGGAAAGATTATGTTTTAGTGTTTAGGTTGAGTGTTTGCTACTTTTTAAAAAAAGCCTAGAATATGACTGAACAATCCAGTCCCCCACCCAATGAAGCACCAATGGAAGTATTCATACCTCAATCTGTTTGTGGTTGTAAGAGTGGCCACCACCATGTTCAAAGGTGTCCAAACTCCTGCCAAAACGGTCACTTAGGCCCTTTAGCCTTGGGTTAATTTGTGGGTGGGAGACATGACCTTTCTGTTTAGTAGCATATTCAGAAAAAAAAAAAAAAAAAGACAAAACATACTGTCAGAACTCATGAAACAGAACACATATTTCTAAACCCAGGGTATTGACCACACCAAAGAACAGAAAGTAGGTTTAGGACCCAGATACTCTCTTTCACAGAAACTTGATTATAGGATCAAACCGCTTTCTTATTTTTGCCTCTGACTCAAGAAGACACACAATAGCATAGCTACGGAAAAAGGAGAAATAGATTAGATTGATTATGAGTGAGGTTTCTTTTTATATTTTTACCAACTGCAGTAAGTTCCCCTGTCAGTAGTAGAGAAGGTGAGGGTTTAGAAGAGAGGTAGGGTTGCTGCTTTCATTAGGCAAAATGTCTAGCTCTGCTAGGCAGTCCATAATGGACAACATCTTCAAGACTTTCTGGATGAGGCTTATGACAAAAACTTCTCAAAGTACTGCAAAAATTCTTTATTTGTAGACCCAGTTGAAGGTACTCAAAATGATACTTTTTCACGGTAAAATATCTGTACATTTTTTACATTCAAGTCATATGAGTAATAGCAAAGAAGAAACAAAAATGCCTAGTTAGATGCTATTCCCTAGACTATTTAAGAAAATTCAAAAAAAAACCACAGTAAATTATAAGAATAAAAAACTATCTCTATCCACTGTATTGAAATTCAAGTTACCATACATTTTCTAAATGTTCAAATACTGAAGGTTTAACCATTATTTTAATATTATCTTTTTGTTTTTGTTAAAATATACACTCATAGTTATAGTCAATTTCCCATTAAGATGGCAGTGCTAGAAGGGTATAAAGATTACTTAGTCCTATTGTTAACCCCCCCACACCATTTTACTATGAAGAAGAGAAGGTGCAAGTGCTTTTTTAATTTAGCTTCCAAAACACTTTCTCTCCAATTTTAGTTCCATAGGTAAAGAACTCTAACCCAGAATTTGGTCAGACACCATGCCCAGACTTTTGACCTGGCATGAGGATGAGGACGAGAATACACATATTCAGGAGCAAAGTGTTCACATTTTCCAAATAGTTAAAGTAATTTGGTAATAACAACCCCCTATTCCATGAGCTGCAAGAAGGAAAATATCCAACATTGTTTTCTGTTTTGATGCTTACGTGTAAAAGCTAATTGGACATGAATGGAGACGTGGACGAAGAATTGATAAGGAAAAAGCTTACATACCCAATAACAACCATAACAATCAGTCATAAAAAATTGTAAAACCATTAACTTACCGATCGAGAACATACAGTACTAAGTCATAATGTCATTTTTTCCTTTAAAAATATTGACATGACAGTTTTCTCTTCTACTTGCAGTATGGTAAGTACATAAGGTGTTAATCCTTCTAGGCTATGCTTAAAAAATTATTTAATATCCAGGCCATTATTTAGCATACAGCTGGTTAGCAGTTTTCCACTAAAGTACTGGCTCGTATCACACATTTTTTTCTTCTGGCACTCACCTGGAGCTGTAAAGGGCTGAGTCCAGAAGCAGCAGCAGCTGCCATTGTTGATGGAATGAACTGTACAGGGTAGTTATCACCTGTCGGGAAGAACAATGCATACAGGTTTAGACAATGAACAGGGAATCACAGCAGGCAAGTACAAACATGGTCCTTGGATTGCCGGAGCTTTACAACATTGCTCTAAGCCCAAACATCTGCAGAAACAAAAGGCTTAGTTGGGCACAGACTTGCACTGCTGCCTTGGAACTTTTTGTTAACAGATAGCTGGTAGGCAAACTGGCAAAACATGAATGTGATGTTAAAAAAATTAAATGTGCAATTCAAGCATGTTCACTCCATTACAAATCTTGTAATACATCATTTTTTTAAGAGTAAAAAAATATCTTAAAGCCAGGCTGACACTCAGTTCACTGAGAAAGCATTAAGGCTTTTACATTAAAACAACAAAACGTTTTGCCTTGGTAGGCAAAGCAGAGTATTACAGTCCAAAAAAGATTAAGAATTACTGACTGTCCATAACCCTAACGTTTATTTTATAAAAAAATAGAGGAAAAAAATTAAATGCAACCTCTTTAATTTGATAGGGGTAAGAGAGAAGCTAATTTTATCTGCCAACATTCTATGAAATGCCTGGTATCCCAAATAGAGTGGAAACTATGTTTTTCTGTGCTAACTTCCGGTGGAACCTAGTACAGAATCATGCACACACACTAGGCACTCATCACTTATTCTCTGATGATGATTTGATTAAATAAACACACATTTTACATGTGATATCTGCATTAAATGTCTGGTCGAGATTGAGCATGGTTTAGCAGAGATCAATGCTACATCTTAATGTGTTTCTGGCTCCAGACTACTCCTAAACAGGGGGGCTGAAGTACCTTCTGTGACCTAAGAACATAGGCTGTATGAAGCGAACAACCTGAAGAACCAAGAGAAAGTGATGAGGTATGTATTGTGATAGTGGCAATTGAAATCAAAATTAATACTTATGGATAAATTACACAATATCAGTGATTTCATGGAGTATCACTTTGACTTCAGCTACTTATTTAAAGTCAGTGTTATGTATTATCTCTAGGCTATATTTTAATAGGCTGTTCCTCCACACATTTTTGACATTTAAAATAATCATGCTGTTTTGCATGAACTTTTCCACACTAAAAGCTGAATATGATAATGAAAAGTATAGAAAGAATCACAGTAATAAAGGTAGTCAACTAGAAAGCAATGAAACCCCTTTTTTTCTGCATGGACACTAATACCTGGAGCCTTCCTGGTGCCCCTGGTTCGTTGGAACTCATCCTGTTTGCCACATGAAGTTGCACTCAGCTGGCCCAATGTAAATGTTAAGTTGCTTTCACTTTTAACAAATTGTAAGCTTCTAATCTACACAGTCTCTTTGCATCATATCCATAATACCTCATCAGACCATTGAGCACAGTGTGCGCTTGTACACAGTCCAGTAACAATTGGCTTCTGATTGCATATGGAGCGCTGCTACAATGCATTCACTAACACTATACTGTGCTAGTCTCCTATGGAGTAATGTTCAAAATATCTGATCTTGTTTTTCCCCTTCCATGAGGTTGATTTTGGTTTGCAGTGCTACATGAGCTTTTTAAAAAAGATAACTAGGCCAAATTATTTTTTATGGTAAATGACTGCCGCTTTATGCTTAAATAATTCTACTGATCCTCTTGATATTTAAACTAAATTATCTGAAGAAAGAATATCCTAATCTAAGTCAAACAGTATTTCTTTGGTTGACATCTTATCAGGTTAAAAAAATCACAAAACGATGCTGAATTAATGATGCTTCAAAAATAGAGAAAAAAAAATCACCATTCCAACCATCAACATGGGCTGCCTCTCAGAACATTTTAGAGCTGTTCTTTCTTTAAATATCATGCATTATTCATACTAACTCTAAACCATAACCCTCCTCCCTGTAAGTTTAATACCAGTTGTTTTATTTGTACTAAAACATTTTTCATGTCAAACATATTTAAAAAAATCAAACTCTAAAAGAATTCCCTGGGGCACTCCTTTTTTCATAGCTGTCATGCTTCTATGCTATGAAATAGCTGATTTTTTTTTTTAATAGTTTTTGGCTTGCCAGTTAATTTATTACCATCTCTACCACACCCTGTAGTACTCTCCAGCTCACCTGCTGGCTACAAACAGCTTTCTTTCCACTGCTGACAAGCATATTTTTAAAATGTTTTTAACCTTTCTGCTGGTTTGAATCTGTATATCTGAATATAATCTTTGGAAAGCTATGTCTCCAGAACATATTGTATCAATACCAAAAGTAAAAATGAATACATTAGAGCAACTGAGTATATCACAGGGAATGATCAGAAGAGAGAGAAAAAGGAAAAGGCCAGAGAGGGAGAAGGTAAGGGTGAAGAAGAGGGGGGTTAAAAGTAGAAGAGAAGATTTAAGAGGGAGAGGGATTTAGAGTACTGTGAAGTTTAATTCTTTTAAAAAGTTACAAGCTTTCCCCCCCTCCCCCTCGCCTTTAATTGTCTCTGTGTAAGAGTCGATCAAGAAAAAGTTCTCAGTGGCTGACTTGGCAAGGAATCAGTCAACATGTTGTAGCAATATTTTTCAAATTTGTCTCTGGATTTGAAATGCTTGCGTGAGGACCCATTCTCTTTAAATCTGTACAAAAGAAGATGAAGCCTGTTGAAACAGGTTGGTTTTAGGCACTACTGTAATCTGGCCCTTGCTACCTCTAGTATAAGTAGACAACCTCCAAATGCCAATTTGGGAAATAATGCCCATTACATAAATCCATCTTTCCAGGCTTCTAGGTTTTCCAACTGATTATTTTTATCTGGAGCTTACAGAGCAAATATGAAACAGGAGTTACAGCCTATAGGACATTTGCCTGACATTAGTTTCACTTGCCACAATAACCAACATTGCTTTGGGATCAAAGCAGCTCCACAGCAAGAGTCCCTGAATGACAGGAAGTATATTTTCTAATTTTCAGGGAAACCGAAAGGAAGCCGAAACTTATTAAGACTTAAACACAGGAAAAGGAGGAGCTTGTATCATGAACCTAGGACCCATTAGACTCAGACTACCTCCTGCAAGAATACTCCTAGTTTGTGTAATTCGGATACAAACTTCACTTTTATTAAAAAGTCAAAAATCCCATGGGTAAAATTCTGTCCATTTACTTTGATTCCTCAGAAAGACGAGGGACTGGGATGGTTGCAGTCTTCTGAGATACTAACTTCAGATATTAACCTATTTAGAGAGTTTGGGAGGAGTAGAGAAGAAAAATACGTTAAACTAGGAGACAGGACTCAAAGATTCTTCAGTTACTGGCTCAAAGTCTCATACCTTATTTTCCACCCTCCAAAACAGAAGAAAGATATACTACACATCCCTCATCTCACAGATCATTGTCTGGTGGTATCACAGGATGATGGTAAGGTATATGAGTTGCCAGATAACTCATAGATACACCCCACTTTTATGAGCTATTATCATTTTTGCTACAATATGGAAATATTTCAATTACAGCCAACAGTATAGACTTGGACATGCCACATTGCATCTTGCCTGGATGAATGTATTCAGAATAGCAAAATATTATAACTTCTCTGTATTCTGAGGGAATGCCATAATCAATCTGAATTTATCTTTGTGAGACAGCGCACTGCAGCAAAAGTTAGTAGGCAATGAGTGACACATTTAGAATCTTAAAAAGAAAACAAAATCTTTAATTTGTTCTGAGAACAATTGGAGAAAAAAATTGCCATGGATCATAGTATATATTGCTGAGATCACCATGCTCTTATTTCTCCTGCTAAATTTCTCCTCTATTCATCAAAGAATAGACCAATGATGAGAAGAGTCTTGATCTCAAGACTTTTTCTAAGAGCATCTGCATTGTTTTTCATACCTTTAAAGAAGCTAAGAATCAAGGATCAATCTTAATTTCTTTACTTATTTCATAGATGCATCCAAACTCTTGGCTAATCATATGAAAATCATGGGATTTGTCACAATAGCAATTAAATAAGTGAGTATGGACAAAATGATATACATGTATCCCCATTACAAGAAATTAACTTAAAATAACAACTTAAAGTTCATGACTTAGTAACTCACCAATGATATAGCCTCCATATATGAAGAAGGGCACAGTTAAAATAATCTCAATCGCCATAAAACTAGGTTAGTTTATACAGGTGAGCATATATAGTTCCTTCTTGGACCTCACCACTCTTATTTAAAAAGGGGAGTACTAACCTGAAGAACCTCAGAAATGCTTTGATTTCAAGTAGATGGATTTAATTAATAAAGTATTCCAGCAATAGTCGTATATGCCTCTGTTTTAAATAGTCAAGAAGAGCTAGAAATGGCTAGCTTCACAAGATGTCATCTAGATAATCCCATACATATAAATCACATTTTTTATATACACACACTCACAAAAGCTAGACTTTTCTTCATATCTTATACACTTAGATCATGCCTGCAAGAGTATAAAATGTCAAATATTCAGAATTTCAGTCTGAATTCTACCTCCACTAATTTCTAGATGTGAAAGTTTGGAAAGAGTTAATTTACTTATTTGACTTTTAGTTTCTTTTTTTCTTTTAACAAAATATAGATAATGCCACTTATATCTTAGAGTTGTTATAAAAATTAAATGAGAATATATATGTATATTCATATACATGTATACATATACATTTATATATATAGATATCAGCAAATAAATGGTGCTCAATAAATGCTAACTGAAACAAAGGAATTAAAAAGAAGTATTAGGTAGCAACTGTACATCAGCAAATTAGACAATCTAGAAGAAATGGACAAATTCCTTGAAACATACAAATTATGTAAACTGTCTCAAGGAGAAATAGATAATATAAACAAACCCATAACAAGAGATTGAATCAGTAATCAAAAACCTCCCAATAAAGAAAATTCCTGGACTGAATTTTTGGCTTCACCAATAAAGTCTACTGAATATTTAATAAAAATTAACACTAATCCTTACAAAATCTTCAAAAATATTGAAGAGGAAACACTTCCTAACTCTGAG